GTAAAGGGGTCCATGGCTGGACCCCTTTACTTCCAGTATAACCATTAGAAGTAAACTGGGCGTCTTCATGAAACCAGTGTTGTGTTCATAGCCCAAAGTCTTACAGTGGAATTTAGTTTCTGTTTCATGACTGAAACGACTTTATTTGAACAAAGACGACCAACGAAACCAGCAGAGCACCGCTAGCTACAAAGCTAGCTATGCTAATTCTAAACAGTACACCAACACAGCATTTAATGGAAGCTAATGCTAAAGCGCTAGCTTCAGTTCACACCACAGCTGCCCTGGAAAAACTCCAACCCTCGCACACCAATTTAATTTCTACATCATTTCATGTTCTAGTAAATTATCAGGTTAAATTAAACTAGGGGAAGCTAAGTGCGCTAAATGATTTCAAAGTTAGCAAGGTGCTAAATGAAGAATTAGCCTAGCTGCTAGCGCATTAGCGGATGAGCTGTATATGGGACGTGTTGATGTTTCTCCTCCTGCAGCCTCCGGACCTCAGAGACCAGCTACCTGAACGAAGCCTTCTCCTTCTACTCGGCCATCCGCCAGCGCTCCTACTACTACCAGGTCAACAAGGAGGACAGGTCAGGCCCGGCTGGTCCGGTCCGGTCCGCCGCGTCCCGGCTGCTGTAGCTCTGATGGACTGTCTTTAACAGGCCTGAACTGGTGGTGAAGAAGCTCCGCTACTACGCTCGCTACATCGTCGTCTGTTTACTGCTCAACAAGATGGACCTAGTCAAAGTTCTGGTGAAGGTCTGGATGCTGATCGTGTCAGAGTGCGACCCGGTCTGTGGTTCCGGTCTCGGGTTTTCTAACTTTGGTCTGTCTGCAGGAGTTATCGGAGGAGATCGAAGACTACACCCAGCGCTTCAACACAGAGGACCAGCTGGAGTGGAACCTGGTTCTGCAGGAAGTGGCAGCTTTCATTGAGGTAACCTCTGACCCCGGCTGACCTCTGACCGTCGCAGGCTCGGTCGGGTTCACCCCTGTGTTCTGTCTGTGTGAACAGGCCGACCCGGCCGTGGTTCTGAACGACAACAACTCGGTGCTGGTGACCAGCAACCGGCTGCAGGACGGCAGCGTTCCCCCGCTGGAGCAGGGCATGGTGGTCGGCCAGCTGGTCCTCGCCGACGCCCTGATCGTTGGCAACTGCAACAACCAGGTTCTGACCCGCCGACCCGCTGACCTCTGGGCCCAGAACCACACTGGGACTCGGCTCCTTTGGCAGCTTTCTGGTGGTTTCACACGACTGGAACAAAACTGGGAACTATGGCTGTAGTGATACAATAATCTCACGATACGATATGACACACAATATTCTGCTCACGATGCAATATATATTGCAATATTCAGCAAACGATACGATTCAATACACTTTTGCGATTTTCTGAAAGATTTTAGAGGGACAGAGTGATTTTGGTGACATTTTGTGACTGTTATAGAGTTGGACTGAATTAATTTAACTGAAAACTGATTAAAAGCACCAACCACACAATACCTGGCTCTGGTTGGACATGGACACAGACTTGAAGTCGACAGCTGGACCAAATGAATCAAAGAAGTGGAGAGAAAACATGTTTCTTTTAATTGAAACAGTACAAACTGTAGCTTAAATGCATTTGTAAAGTAAATAAAGTGCACCAAGTACCTGCTCTGCATAGTTTGATACCTTTTAACCCTGACATTTAACATCTGAAGGAATCACTCTAAGCCTGATGACCTAATCACTCTCCCAGCGAAGCAAGCAGTGAGTGAGCAAGGTGACGGTTGGACGTTACGATACTTGCGGATGAATATCGATTTATTTCTAGGAAAGAAAATATCGATATATATCGCAAAATCGATATTATAACACAGCCCTACTGGGAACAAGTTTGGATTTGTCAGAAACTCAAACTGTTTCCTCAACAAGTTAAACATAAAGATTCATCAGAAATGATCCGACTCCATTTAAAGCTCCACAGCAGGAATGACGGAGCAGAGATTGGGATAAATATCATGTTTTTCCCAATCAGAGTTTCACTATGTTTGTGAATTTCATGACCTTTAGTTAAAATGGCTCAGTTGGCCCTGTCCTTGATGCTGCTGCCCCCTGCAGGTGAAGTTCAGTGAGTTGACCGTCGACATGTTCCGGATGCTCCAGGCTCTGGAGAGGGAACCAGTCAACCTGGCAACGCAGACGTCCAAACAGGCAACGCTGGTGGGTTTCTGGCTGAACGTGTTTCCAGACAAACAGGTTCAATAAAGAGACAAAAGGTTCATTTATTCCAATTCAAAAGGTGAGAACAGATGACCTTTGACCTTTACAGATGAACCTGATCTGAAGCAGGCTCTAAGGTGAGGCAGTGAACCAGGAAATGAAAGCTTCGTCCACTTCCTGGTTTTAGACGGTGAATAGCTGCAGCCGCCTGATTGGCTCTTCTTTCACATTGAAATATTGATGAATCTCATTACAAACTGAAATGTTTCCATGGCAACATCAAGGAGTTACAGAGCTTGTTGCTCTTTATGACATCAGCTGGTTAATATGTAATAATTAGATTAGTGAGAACGGAGCCCTGAGGAACTCCACATGGAGTTTCTTTCTGTCTTTGTTCTCTGGAGATCAATAAACAGAATATTTCTGATCAATAATCCTGGTAGCAATATTTACCAGGATTATTGCCATCAGTAGGTTTCCTGATGTTATGAAGATCAACAATTCAAATCCAGATAAAAACCAGATCACTTCACAGAAAGAGTTCAGAGATGTTCAGTTCTGAATCGAAGTTCCTCAGGGCCATGTGGGGATGAAACCAGCATGACGAGGATGATGATGATGGTGTTCTTCCTCCAGGAGCCCAGTGAGAAACCAGCCAAGAGGGAAAACCCCCATAAATACCTGCTGTACAAACCGACCTTCAGCCAGCTCTACACATTCCTGTCGGCTTCCTTCAAGGTCAGCCTGCGATCCTGACCAGTTCACCGTGACTCGGATCCTGACTAGTTCACCGTGACTCGGATCCTGACCAGTTCACCGTGACTCGGATCCTGACC